CAAACCTCTCCAATCCAGGATAATACTAACACTGAAGCTTTTTTGTGACTATTTTCTTGGCTTCTTTCCCAGCACACCTTGTTCCAGGCTAACTGGAATAAACAAACACACATGTGATCACACCGAGTGGGGGTGGGGAAATTCTGAATGGAATGCAGCTCCAGCCAGTCAGGGGACTAGAAGCCCAGATCCCCAACAGGCTGGCAAAGAAGCCAAAACAATGAGCTCATGGGCAAGAAAAATGCAGTCTGTGGGGAAGTCTGGGCAGCCAGAGCCAACTGGTTTTCTGAATCAGGATGGGAAGGGCAGTAATTGAGTCTCCCACGGGAACGAGATTAAGAAGAGCAGGAGACACCATGCATTTAGTAACTTTCAAGGGCTGTTCTCACTAAGGTTTGTTCTGCAGAGTGTGCTCTTGGTCCTGTTAGAAACACACCTGCTCTCCCTGGCTGAGAGTCTGAGGTGGACTCGCTGGTGTTCAGGCTCGAGCATAACCGGCTGTTCCTGAGAACGTTAGATAAGGACGGGGCAGTAACTCCAGCATTGGGAAGACTGAGCCCATGGCACAAGGATGTCTGAAGTAAAACAGCTAGTCCATGTATACTGCACTCCCAGAGGCCACTGGGCAGACCGCGGGGGTCGTATCCTGAAGGGCAGAAGCTGACGTCCACAATCACCAGACTATATAGCACTCTGTATGACTACCCCGAAAGAAAAAGTAAAACTGCAGACTAGCTCTTTGGGGCTGGTGAGGACTCAACCTTAAGAGTTCTGTAAAAAATCCAGGGCCTGCGTCCCAGAGTTTACAACAGAATCTGTAACGGTTTGCAAATGCTTGGAGGTGCAGCTCCAAGAGACCCACACACTCACAACTGCATAACCTCCTGTATACAGGTAACTAAAAGAAACCAAATCAGGCTGGGCCAGAAACCTTAGTCCCAACACTTGGGAGGCAGCTCTCTGGGAGTTCAAGGCTAACATGGTCTACTTACAGCAAGTTCCCAGCCAGCTAAGGCTAAATAGTGAGACCCCATGTCAAAACCGGAGTAGGATGCGGTGACACATGCTCCAAATCCTAGCACCTGGGAGGCAGGGGCAGGGGATCTCATGTTTGAGCCAGCCTGATCTACATAGCAAGTTCTGGGCCAGCCAGAGCTACATAGTGAGGACCTGTCTCAAAAACTAAAATAAGTAAAATAGAATCTTTTGTTTTGTTTTTCGAGACAGGGTTTCTCTGTAACTTTGGAGCCTGTCCTGGAACTAACTCTTGTAGACCAGGCTGGCCTCGAATTCACAAAGATCCGCCTGCTTCTGGCTCCGGAGTGCTGGGGTTAAAGGCGTGCACCCCCTCCCCAAAAAAGAGAATCTCAAGAAGAAAACAAACTAAAAACACTCCTAAACAAATGAAAAAGCAAAACAAAACAAAACTTCACAGTTTTCAAACCGCTATAAAGTTGGCTGTGGTAACCTTAGGGCCAGTGGACTTAGGGGGCTCTGGACACACTCCCCAGATGTCAGGAACTATTATTATTTTGTAGAACTACAAAGCTACCACACGTGGGAGGTAGAGGTGGGAAGATGAATGCAAGTTCAAGGCCAGTCTGGTCTACGTATAGATTCACAAGCCAGTCAGGGCTATAGAAAGACTTCAGTTCTTCCTCGTTATTCGTGCATAGCCTGGAGCAGCAGCACAGGCTATGATTTCAGCACCTGAGACAGGAGGGTCAGAAATTCAAGGGCAGCCTCGATTAATGAGGGAGTCCAAGGCTAGCCCTGTCTCAGATCGTCAGTGAAGAATTACTGACCCGGGGTCAGTCCCTTCTCCCACAACACAGTGGCTCTTGGACTCAAAGCAAAACAAAACAAAACAAAACAAAACAAAACAAAACAAAAAAGCCTGGTGTGGTGGCACAAACCTTTAATCCCAGCACGCCACTCAAGGGGCAGAGGCTGGCGATCCACAGAGCAAGTTACAGGACAGCCAGCCCTGTTACACAGAAACCCGGTCTCGGAACCCCCCCACCCCTGCCCTCAGAGGAAAAAAAACCAAAACCCCCACTCAATTCTCAAGAGTTGTTTGACTCAGCAGGCGCGGGAGGAAGCCCCTCCCCCTTCCAGATGCTCCACATAACTGAGATAAGCAACACCAAGGCTGTAACTGCTGTGAACTGAGACAGAACCAGACTTCAACTCTCCAGAGAAGGCACTGGGGTGGGGGTGGGGGTGCCCCCCCCCCAAGGCAGAACTCGGCTGAACAAGTGAAGCTAGGAGCCAACCCTACAACATTCTTTCTGCAGGAAGTGCCCTGCTTCGGGCATCCGGATGGAGCCCCCCACACCAATGATGCTCTTTCCACTCTAACTCTGTTACCAAAACTTACTTTAGAGAAAGTTCTTCGGCTGCCTTCTGGCCAGTTCATGCCACAACTTTGAGAGGCTAAGACAAGACTATCAACCCAAACTGGATCCCAGCCTGGGCTAGGGTGCCACTAAGTTTCAGGAAGTGGGGGGAGGGGGAGAGTGGGGTGCAGAAGACTGAACTCAGGACCTTACAAGGGTTCAACATCCACCCTAACAAATGAGCAACACCCCAACTTGGAAAGAAAATTCTGGGGCAACAGATGACCTGGTTCTCGGGCCAGCAGGTGCAGCTCAGCAGAAGCTCGCTCAGTACTGGACGCTCTTGTTTAAACTTCAGCACCCCTTACCCGCACAAGAACTGAAAACGAAAGGGCTGGGTGGCTGTCTGCAGGCTTGCCTCGTACTCAGGAGGCCCTGGGTTCCGAGGCTGATGCAGACACACACCTGTCTGGCACCTGAGGGGCAGAGGCAGGAGGCCAGAATTTGGGTCTGCACAGCAAGAAGCAAAAGAGAACTGAACATTAGTTGTGCCACACACCAGGGTGGCTGAGGTGTGTGCCCCTCTATGACTTAGGTCACTCTTTGAGCAAGAGTCCGGGTTGGCTTATACCCCTAAGTGGTGGGCAGAATTAAGATATGCGCCACCACACCCACTTTTTAATGTTTTCCCAAACAAGTTCTCAGACAACCCACACCAGCTTCCAAATCCCAAAGGCTGACCTTGAACACTGGTTCTCAGTGGACCTCTCCAGTCTTGGGCGTCCTTGTGTGGCGGTGCTGCGACCCTGCCTGACCTCAGCCTCCCCTGGTGCCCTACAGGAACTGCTCCATTCGGGGTAAAGGCACAGTGCACAGAAGCGGCTTCGCATCACAGGCACCCATGGGGCTCATCATGGTGGCACAGGACAAGGCACGAGTATCCAAAGTTCAATGCAAGCCTAGGTCTTGTATCAAAAATAACTAAAAACAAAACTTCCAAAGCATCACCAGGAACAGTACTAAGCAAAACTTAACCCAGTCAAACTTTGGGGGCCTGTCTCTTTCCGTAGCATGGCTTGCCTTGGACCCGATGCAATCCTGCTGGTGTACCAAGCAAAATTTAGCATGTTAATCTTACCCTTACCTGGGTGCCACTGTCTCAACATGGAATCAAACTCGGAACCTTGTGTGTACTAGTCGTTAAAGCACATTCCCTTTGTGTCTGTGTGAACAGGGCTCAAGGCCAAGAGGCATCACATCTCCTGAAACTGGTTACTACAGTAACTAGTCAAACACGGACCCTGGGAACTGAACATAGGCCCTCTGCAAGACCAGTTAGGGCTCCCAGTCTCAAAGACACACACCCCCATACACTATTTCATAGCCCGTTGGCCTTGATCTCCAGGCAGTACTTATGCCTCAGTCTAAGTGATGGGTTACAGGAGCCACTAGGCCCAGCACAAAGCAATTTTGCAATAAAAAGTTACTGATAGGCGGTGGTGGCGGGCAGGCCTTTAATCCTACCACTCAGGAGGCAGGGACAGGCGTTATCTGAGTTCTAAGGCAGCCTGGTCTAGAGTAAGTTCCAGGAAAGCCAGGGCTACACAGTGAAACCACGTGTGTGGGGGAAGGAGGGGGGGCAAATCAGTAAAAAGTTACTGTCATCTGGTGACGAAGCCCATGGAAGACGGAACAGATGTTTAAACAGACAAAACTGAGTAGAAGATACGGGATGCTGTTTGCTTGATTAGTGTTTGTGGCTGAAAACCAGTTATGCAAACCTCAAATTTGCACATTTCCATGGTGATTCGGCTCCCTTTAAAGGCATTTGACAACAAAGGCAGGACAGTTCTTCAAACTGGCTTAGTCTCACCTCCTTGGAAGAAGTGGCCTTGACAGCTAAGAACTAAAACCTCAGGTGAATAATCTTGTTCATCTCAAAAGCAGGGTGGAGGTGGTGAAGTTACTGCTTTGTGAACCCTTCCATACTAAAAACAAACAAACACAACGCGCTATCACCCTGGTGAGATGGCCCAGTGGGTAGGGGCACTTGCCACCAGGCCTGAGTTTGAGCTCAGGAGGGAAAATTGTTTACGTGCACACTGATACTTAGTAACTCACAAGGTAAAGACAGCTTTTGATCTGTGCATTAACAAGGACCTCACAGCACTGCACCACCAAATCCTGTGCTTGAGAGAGGCTCAGTGAAGAACCTGCCTACTACACACAAGGTCCTGGGTTTACTCCGAGCTTGGGGAGCAGGGGCAGGTTGGGATACAGCACCCTAACAAGGCACACACCCATCTCAGCTAAAGCAGAGGACCAGAGGTGGAGGCAGAATGAAAAGCTCAGGGTCAGCCTTGAACTTAAGATAAAAGCAGTGTGATGCTGAGAGCGGTGAAGACTGTCCAGGCTGGGCTACTTTGTGGCCATCTTAAAGGAGACCAAAAAGCATTCTCTTCCAACACAGAAAAGTAAGGGCCTAGTTTAAGTAGCGCAACACACAAAACTCCAGATACAGGCTCTCTGCCCCTTTGCTATGAGGCAAATTGACTTTAACTTTTGTTTTTAGTTCACTTACATGCATTGCTGACTTCCTTAAAGAGACTTGCATAATGGGGAAGGAAGGCGATAAGAAAAGACCCATATACCACACCTTACTTTGGAGGAGAAAAAAAAAGGTTTATTTTTTTTTCCTTAAGAGAAGAAACAAGTTAGGGAAACACATTTTTTTACAACCCACATTAACTTGCAGTTGGTCCTAACCCTTTTAGGAACAGGTGTTAAAAATGCTGGTTCTACCGGATTGAAGGTGTTCACCACCCCAGCTAGAATGTACATGGATGCTTGAAGACGGTATGGTTTTCCCTGAGAAGTGTAAGACAAGTTTGCTGAGAGCTATCTTTCCAGCAGCCCCTCCCCCTTCACTCTGGAGGGTGTCTCAACTACGCAGCTAGGCAGCACTTGGACCGTGCCTCTTCTCCCTCCAAATAAACCCCTTTTCTCAACCACTTGGGCTCTCCAAGTCTGCATGGCCCTGGAACCAGAACAGCCCACTAGGAACAGACCGGTACAAACACAAACTTCCACAACTGGATATGGGAGCGCGCCTTCTAGGCACCTTAACCTGTAGGGTCAAACTATGTAAAGTGCTTTTAATTCCAAGAGATAAACATAAATAAGCCATTTATAACCAAGAAGGATAAATACATAGGTACAAACAGCTCCAACAAGATGACCTCGGGCTGGGCTGGACAGGCAGGGCACTTCTTCCCCATTGCATTCTTAGTCATCTGATTCATGCCTATTTTTATCTGCAGTCCTGACTAAAGGTCACTCTGAGACTGAAGCTTCCCAATGACCACAGCTTAAACAACCTCCTCCAGTTTACCAGTCAGCTTTCAGATAACTGAGGCTTAACAAAACCCTCCTTTCTCTAAATTTAAGTGAGCATACTCACTCTGGGACAGTTAAAGCTGTGACTTTTGATACTACCCACATTGCTCCTGTTGGTCAAAGGCCTCAAAGCCTCTAAGGAGACAAAGCTCTGCTGACTGACAGGAGGGAGATGACTTATGTTCCTAGTTGGGGGGTGAGGATGTGTGGACCTCAATTCTATCTGTAGAGGGACCAGAGGGAGCATCACAAGTCAGGATTTAAGAATGGTTAATTCTATATAACAGTGAGACACCTAGAGAAACCAACACAGAAATTCAAAACAAAGCTTAGCAATCATTAGTAGAAAAGAAACACATACTTGTTTTATTGACAACACCAGGCTTAAACTTGTATTAAACAAGTAAGCTTGTGAATAGCACCATGGTTATGACTCTAGCCTGAATTCCCAAACCACTTTACAATTTAGTAAGTCACCGGGGGGGTCAAATGTCTTACATCTACCTGCAATACAAAATCAGACTGGAAAATTAAGCCTGCATAGTTGTGAATCTGATTTGCCTCACTACAGCCAGTGCATGCGCAGCTGGTTCTGTGTATACTCTAGTACTGGTCATGACAAAGTTCTAAAAAGCTGTAAGAAATAGATTTTAACTACAAGTTGCAAATCTTTTCAAAAGGGTATGGAAAAACTAAATCAGAGCCTTCCCTCTTTTATATTCAAAGAAATAGACTTTCTGTAAAAATATATACAATTTTTACAGACAAATACATTTTATATGTTGTTTCTCTTAAAAATTGAGGCTTTTCAGTTTTGTAACTAATTAGTGGAAGCTTAGTCAAGTACTTTTGGCCATTACTAGGCTAATAAACTTAAGAATCATCCAAACCAAGCCAAAGTAGACAGGCCTACACATCCTGAGCACGTGGGCTTTGTCAACAAGCACACCTGGGAGATCGCGGGCGCCCGTGGCGTGCCTCCCTTCACATTCTCGTTCACTCCTGTGGCTTCCAGTCAAAGTTTTTACTTGCAGCTTACATCCATTTGCACAGGTCACCGTCATTATTAGTGCTTCTTTGCGACACTACAGTGGTGGATTCTGATATTTATTGAGCTCTATGACTAGCCTGACGACTGGCCACTCCGTTCAGGACAAGGAAATCAAGTCTGTCCATCTAACCACTTTCGTCCAATCTACAAGTCCTCCATGGCCTCCCAAAGTCTGCTGAGTGAAAACTTTGCTTCTTTCAGAGAGTAACTCTTCAAGAGGGAGCACTTTCCCCATGTATTTATTCTTGTTGGCCACAATCCTGTAGCCACTTGCTTTATTTCTGGCTATGTTGCTAGAGTGGAACTCCTGGATTGTTAAAAGCCGGGGCAGCTTCAAGTCCAACTTCATAAATACACTGGTTTTCACAGAAGCACGCAGTTTGGTGGCTGGAGTTAAGAGACACCTAGCACTCCCAAGGCTATCTGATCAGATAGGCCAGCCCAGCCCCCACTCCAGCCACACCCGCGAAGGCCAGCAGCACATTTCTGATGCCGCCTTCTAGGTCCTGCACGTGGAAGAACTCCACAAACCCATCCTAGAAAACAAAAGAAAAGCACATTTTTCAAGCATGGGTTTCTGCCGTTGTGACACTAAATACAGAGAAAGGATTAATTAAAATATCCCCCGAAACAATGGCGAAACAACTATCCAATATTCCCGGGATGCAAGAGCCGTGTCTGGAGTTTCCGGTGAGTTAGACTAGCTCACAGCTGTACCGCACAAGGTGAACAAGAATTGAGGGCCCAACCAGACAAACGCTACCACTCTTCAGAGCCCCCGGAAGCATCTCTCCCGTGGGGTCAGTGTTTCCTAATGAGGTTGAGCACACTTCACACCAGAGCTCTTTGGGTATAAAACATCTGAGCTGCAGGCTCTACCCGTCTCCACTGGATTAAAATGAGGGCCTACAGGGTATGTACATTTAGTCATCGCAGGGGTCCCTTACTTCAAGGTTTCAAATCCACTGCTCTGAAGATCACCCAACTTAGAAGAACCTACAGAATACAAGACCTTCTGGTACAGTTCAAGACCTCCATACCACTTTTTCTTTGGACCCCCCCCCCCTTACAACGTCCAACGTTAAGCAACCAGATGTACATAGATCTGGAACCGGGAGCTTTGTAAAAACCTTTAGCTGCCTCCACCTTCACTAAGTCCTGCACCCCATTTCCACTCCACGGCCCCTTTAAACCGTAAGGCAAACTTACCCAGCCTCTTTGTTTGACAAGCCAGTCCCGTTTTGATCGGACAAGAACATCTGTGATACTTTCTGCTAATGGTTCGATGCAGTTTTCCTGGTTTATGCTCTTCAAATGTTTGGCCACATAGGCACCGAAAGAAATAAGAGTCACAATCCTGCCCCAGTTTGTTACGCCATCTTTGAAAACATGGACCATCACTCGAGAAAAAGACTTGACATCGTCTTCGTTTTTAATGTCCAGTTTCCGAAGCATGCCTGAGGGAGAAAAGCACGCAACCTCATGGCCTCCTTTGTCTGCTGCAGCCGGCCACGACCCCTGCCCACCCACGGCGAGGGACTCGGCTCTTGGAGCGCTCAGGCGGACCCCACGCCGACATTGACATCCCACCCTTTCCGGCTTTTGAACCCAACTGCCAGATGGGCGGAAACAATGACTCACGGCCAGAACACGCCGGGTGCGGAGCCAGCTCGCCCGGGCTCTTCCCGCACGGCCCGGCCCGCCCCGCCCCGGGCGCCGCTTACCCTGGAAGGCCGTCTCGTGGTTGCGCTGCACCCCGTCGCCCACGCGCCGCAGGGTCTCCAGCGCCCTCCGGCCCGAGGCGCCCGCCTCGCCCAGCGGCTTCCCGTCCTTGGCGCCGGCCGCCTGCTCCCGCAGGTAGCGCGAGATGATCTCCAGCGACTGGCGGTACAGCTCGTCCTCCTCCTCCTCCTCCTCCTCGGCCGACGGCGGCGTGGAGGGCAGAGAGCCGTCGGCGGCCGCCGCACTCCCGCGCTCCCGCAGGGGCAGCACGGCCGGCCGCTTGCCGAGCGCCTCGGGCTCGCAGCCGTCCAGCTCCTCCTCACCGGGCATGATGGCGGCGGCCGGCGCGGCCAGCTCCCCCCGCGGCACGGCCAGGAGGCCGGGCGCCCGCAGCTGCCGCCTCTCGGGCGACGCGGTGACGTCGGGGTCCTCCGCGCCCACGGGCGGCGGCCGAGCGACCACCCGCGCGCCGGGCAGCAGGGCGGCCTCCCCTCCCCCCTCGCGCCGCGCCTTGGCCGCCTCGGCGGTCAGGCGCGCCCCCGCCGGAGAACCGCCGGCCGCGCCGAGGCTGGCGCCGCCGCAGTACAGGTTCAGGCCGATCACCGCGTTTTTCCGCAGGCCAAACATGATCGGACGCCGCAGGAGAGGGGACGAGAGCGGGGAAGGCCACGACTCCAGACTCGAGGCTGGCGGAAGTCAGGAGTGGGCCAGGCTGGAACCGGCCGCCGCCTTAGGGCCTCTCTGACGCAAGCGGGCTCTTACCGTAAAAGGGAAAGGGGCGTGGTTTCCGGAGAGCCGCGCCGGACGTGGACCGCGGCTCTTCCGGCCCGGCTACTTAACGACCCGACTGGCGGCGCGCGCGTTCCTTCCGCCCTGTGCGCCTCTGCTCCGGGTCCGTGCTTGTGCCAGGGTTTGATGTCCAGGCTGTCCCGGACATTAGCTAGTCCTGCCTTAGCATTTCTCGTGCTGGCATGACAGGCTTGCACCATGCGCTTCGTTTTTAAACCATACCACTTTTAAAATTATTATTAATTATTATTATTTGTGGATGTGTGCCTCCATGTGGGTGCTGGGAGTCGAACCCGAGTCCTGAAAGAGCAGCCAGGGCTCTTAACCGCCCAGGCATCTCTCCAGCCCGTCCCTGCACCACACCTAACTCGAAACCATTGATTCGCTTAGAAATAGAGGGAAAAGGAATGGGGAGGATAGAAGATTTGAGTAAATAGGAGCACGCTATGGGAGACCTGCGTCATTTTTCTACTGTTTCAAAAATGAGGACACTTGACGGACCACTATTAAAGAGTTATTTATGTGGAGCCTCTGAAATGGTTCAGACTTGTGTCACTGAAACGCAAACCCGAAGACCTGAATTCGGAAGCAGCGAGCCAGCCTCACAGAGTTCCAACGGCTGCCACAAGAGCCCAACTCCTCACCGCCACACACAAAGAATAAAGTCTAAAAGCGAATCATTTATGGTGGCTGGGCCTGTAGCTCAATTGGTAGAGAGCTTGTCTAGCCCTGAGGAGGTAGAGGCAGGACACTTGGAAGATTAGACTTGGCTACCTAATGAGCTTGCTCTAAACAGTCACTTATGACCGCTAAGGGTGTAACTCAGTTGGTCCCCAGCATCTCATAAGAAGGTGGGGACCACCGGGCGGTAGAGGCGCACACCTTTAATCCCAACTCAGGAGGCAGAGGCAGGCAGAACTCTGAATTCAAGAGTTCAAGAGCTAGTTCCAGCACAGCTAGGACTGTTAGACAGAGAAACCCTGTCCTTTTTTTTTTTTTTTTTTTAAGACACCTGATCTACAAAGCAAGTTCCAAGCCAGCCACAGTTACATAGTGAGACCCAGGCTCTAACAAAACAAAACAGAAATTGTAGGCTAGGAATATGGCTTAATTGCTAGAGCGCTTGCCTAACAGAAAACCCTGGGTTCCAAACCCTGTGCAGTGATGGCACACCTTTCATTTCAGGACTTGGGAGATGGACCAGTAAGTAAAGACACTTGGCGCCAGCCTGAGGACCCGGTTCTTTCCCTAGAGCCCAGGTGGTGAAAGGCAAGAGCCGACTCCTGAGACCTCCACTGAGCGTGTCAGTGTTAAACCACAGCTTAGTAAGAAGCCAGGGAACCATCCGACTGCTTGGAAGCAGGATCTAGAATCCCAGTTTTGTAGGATGTGGCAGGGAGTGTGGAGGGAAGCACTTTGTAATCGTAGTGACTAAGGACCGCTTCTGTAAGAAATGTCTCCTCCTGCGCAACCAGCACAGTGTGAAGTGCGGGGTGAGGGGGCTTCGTCAACTGGAGTGCTGGAGTTAGAGAAACCCTGCGGGCTAGGTGGCTAGAGGAAGGCTTTAGGGAAGAGAGTCTAGCCCAGGTTGGAGGCCATCTTCCTGCTTCAATCGGCTACATTCTGGGAATATGAGCTGCCACACTCTGTCTAAATTTAAAATTTTCATATATTCACATATTTGGTCCCAGAACTTGGGAGGCAGAGACAGGCAGCTCAGCATGAGTTGGAGGCCAGCCTGGCTCGAGTTCCAGGACAGGCTCCAAAGCTACAGAGAAATCTGGTCTCAAAATATATATGTATGTGTGTGTGTGTTTGTGCACATGTGTGCAGGTGCATTTGGAAGTCAGAGGCATTACAGGGATTGTGAGCCACCAGACTTAGGTGCCATCTCAACAGGCCCCTTTTAAAGTTTTTTTGAGGGGGCTGGAGAGATGGCTCAGTGGTTAAGAGCAATGACTGCTCTTCCAGAGTGACCTGGGTTCAATTCCCAGCACCCACATGGCAGCTCACAACTGTCTGAAGATCCAGATGCAGGGGATCTGACAGCTTCACACCAATGCACATAAAATAAAGTTAAATAAACCATAAAAATATGTTAAAAATAACGGTTTTTTTTTGAGATAGGGTCACATGTAGCCTAAGCTGGACTCAAATTTGCTGTATAGCTGAAGATAGCCTTGAACTAACTAATTCTGCTTCTGCCTCCAAGGCGTGTGCGCCACAGCCCTAGTATCGATTTGGACTGTCGTAGGCAGTCGGGAAACCTGATACTACCATAGTTAGTGTACGTGCTAATTCAGTTTCATGGCTATAATGGGTTAGGATGAATCGACAGAAGGGAGTGGACGCAAAGGGATGAAGGAGGACTTGTTCCACGATACAGTAGGCAGATGACACTGCCCTAGATGACGGTGCGCACCTTGAGCCAGCATGCTCAGACAGGGTGCTAAATCTAGCCTAAGACAGGCCTACAGAGAAAGAGGCCTGTCTCTCAGAAACAAAAACAAAACAACAAAACAAAAACAAAGGCTGTGCCAGGAGTGGCGACTCACGCCTGTCATCCCTGCACTTGACAGGCAGAGGCAGGAAGATGGGGGTCAAAGGTCATCTTGTTATGTAATGACTCCAAGGATTGGCTACCTGAGAGCCTATCTCAAACAAGTTCAAAACAAAACAAAATCCAATCCCAGCATTCTGGAGTTGGAGACAGGATCTCTGAGTTTCAGGCCAACCAGGACTATAGTGAGACTCTTTCTCCAAAAACAAACAGAAAAAAAAAACTATGTTAAAATATCTAACTCCAACTTGGCTTAATATTGGCTTATTCTGAAATTCCTTTTTGCACTGAAGTCAAGAATTCGGTTTAACTGGGAACTCCTGAGGCTGCGTGTGAGCTATGCCTCTGCCCCATCATTACTCACAGGGCTGAAAATACTGCCCCATCATTACTCACAAGGCTGAAAATACCGCACTGAACGCTACAGGGAGAACTACTGACGTCCTTTGAGATCAAGTAGACGCCGTGGGCAGTCCGACCTGTTTTTGTGTGGTAGTGCGGTAGAACTGATATCTAAATTGAGGACTGAACAACAGCGTGAAAGCTGAGCCTGGAGCCACAGGCTGCTAATCCCAGCACTCAGAGGCAGAGGCAGGAGGATAACTGTGACTTTGAGGCCAACCTTGATGATATAGAAAAAAAAAATCCCAAAGAAAGAGAAACAACAGGGACCTACAGTGAAGGGTGGAAGTAGAGAAGACACTGGAAGATGGTGCGGGGATCAACAGGCTTGAGGATCTGAGTTTGATCCCAGGGACCATCGGGACAACGATTGAACTGAGTCCTCGGGTTGTTCTCTGACCATATCATAGAGCTCGCACAGAACACTGTGGATTGCAGACATGGGCCACCCTGCCTGCCTTATTTTATTTTATTTTGGATTTTCAAGACAGGGATTCCCTGTGTAACAGTTCTGGTTGTCCTGGAACTTGTTCAGTAGTCCAGGCTAGCCTCGAACTCACAGGGATCCACCTGCCTCTGCCTCTCGAGTGCTGGGATCAAAGGCGCGCACCTCCACCGCCCGGCAGTTCAGGCGATTTTCTGACAATGATGGTGACCACAGAATCCGTCAAGCACACTGAGCAAATAGAATTCTTAAAGAGCTAGGACATTCCAGAGCCTTTCTGAGGAGACCTCTGTCACGCAGAGCAGCAGGCAAACACGCCAGGCATGCTGGTCGAGGTGCGAGCCTCCAGATGAAGGGGCTTCCTCGTGTAAATAATGCCACTGTTTATTCAGGGCCCCACCTAACCCAGGAGTCTTGTTTTCAGTTCCCTAGGTCTCGGTCATATTTGACAAGTCCTAACTCCCTAAAATGCCTGACTTTTGAGCTGTTGTATTTTGGGGGACATATTCACCAAAAGGTGCCTTGGCAGCCTGCTAAGTAAAAGGATAATCTCGATTCCTAGGGAATCGGACACAAAGAAACAGACACCGCAGGAAAGACTGTGTCCCCAGCAGGAGAGAGACTGAGGAGGGGCTGCGAGCAGACATCCCCCAAGACCCTGACTGACTAGGGATGCCTAAGTGATACCATACTGAAGTCCATGAGAGCACAGGAAGCAAGCTCACTGGCTCTGTGAACTTCATCCCAGTGGCCGGGGACTCTCTCCTCAGACAGACATCCGCTCTGGCACAGGTCCCCTAACTTGTGAGAGGGCTGGCCCTGCATTCCCTCTGTAGGGAGGATGAATCTATTTTCTGATTCTCTTAGGCAAGCACTCTACCAGCTGAGGTGCATTCCCACACTCTAATTTGTTACCAACAGCTCTGTGGCTCTTCGGCCTTTATTTTGAATTTCCCAAAATTTGTCTTTTAGAAAGTCTCAGGCATCATTCTGTGTTTCTCCTAGGGATTAGCTTGGAGTTCTTGTTGTTTCTGAAGGGAGCTTGTGTGTGCATGAGGAGAGGAGGCTGACCCCAGAGATCTAAACACACTAGGCAAGAGCTCTACTACTAAGCCTCCACCCTCAACCCTTGAACGTTTTTGTTTTGCTTTCAGCTAGGATCTGGCTATTGTGTAGCACAGGCTGGCCCTGAATCCTTTGCTTTAGTCTTCCAAGGGTTAGCATTATAGGCTTGCAACCCAAGACCCAAGCTTGGTGGCTCTTGTCTAAACTTTCAGCACTCAGAAGGCTGGAGCAAGAGGATCATGGGAAGTGCAGCCTGGGCTACATCGTGAGTTCTACACCAGTCTGGACACAGAGTGAGATGCTGTCTCAGAGAAAAAGCAAAAAGGAAGTTACTTTTTCCCCCTTGAAATGGACAAAGGGGCTCAGGACTTCTGGAACTAGTCCTTGACGATTTGTCTTGAAAATCTTAGTTGCTGCCGGTGTTTCCCACTGGAAGTCACATCTGTATGTCTT